TAAAGGATTTAAGGCTGCTGGGAGTGATAGAAGAGGAAATAATAGTTGTGGTATGCTCTGCAAAGGCATTGCTGTTCTGCTCGCAAGTCTTAATCATATAAAAGAAAGATGAAAGGCCAAGACTATATTTATGTACAGTGTCATTTTCTCAGAACTGTTTAAAAACCCATTTTCTTAACATCAAAAATAGTTCAGTAGCCAGAGATGAAATTACTTCAATATGCCTTCATTTGTTTCTTACATCGGGGGGGGGGGAGGGAAAAAAATTTCTTAAGTAAGGGTTATTTAAGAGATTAAGAGCTGTATTCTCATTTTATTCACCCCAGTATAAACCAAACATGCTTGATGTTAACCTTATTCAGCAATTGGACCATACAAATAAATATTGTCACAATAGTGGTTTATGGGGTTACAGTTCCTTTATTATTCTATACTTAATTGGTGAGATTTTAATTTTTTTTAGAAGCATTTTTCAAAGAAAGTGGATCTGTCAGATCAAAACTGTGCATGGGCTCATTTGTCTCCTGCTGAAGATGTTGTACACTGGTGTAACATTGTTTCTTAAATATGAGGCAAATTTAAAACCTGAACTTTTGCAAGCTGTCGTATCCAAAAATGATTAAACAGATGTGGAGCCCGCAGCAGCATTAGACCTCTGATCTGATTTTAGCTTACAGATGGAATTAAATTAATTCATGGCAATCACTGTAAAATCAAGGGTATGGCACTGAATGCTAGTGTACTGTTTAACCAGGACATACCTGTCTCAACAGCTGTTAAGAAAAAATTGCATACCTTTATTTTTCATTGAAACCTGCCTTTAATGCCATCATAAATATCATACCAAAATTAAACAAATGTGATGAGTTTTTTGATTTACCCTTCCTGGTTTTGCCTCTTTCTACTGATAGATTCCTATTCTGTGTATATAAGGTCATATGCATAATACATGTAGACCTTGAAGTGTGTCTATTCATATACACAAAGGTTTGAAGATTGGCCTTTTTTTGTTGTTATTTTGGTTGACAATATTACAAAGAGAAGGAACATAAATGAGGGTATTCTACAGTGCTGTCTATTCAAGCAAGTTACTGTTCCTCAGTGTTTGCTCCTCACTTGGGTAATGGCAGCCACTTCTACATGCAGACTATTCATCTGGTAGATCAAGAATCAAATTGTTGCGGTGGCTAAAAACATCTTCATCCTGTAGAAAGAAAAAAACTACACAGGAGATTCCTACAAATTATTAGTACAGAAACTTCCTCGTAACTCCTGGAACCCCACAAAACCTCATACAGCAATAAACTCAGAAAAATCTATCTCTGCTTTTTTTTCTTAATCTCATTTTACATGGTTATTATTTTGTGGGACGGTGTGATGGGTTGATTTTGCTCTTGCTCCTGGGTGGGTCGAGACTGAACACGTCCCAGAGGTAGCACAGTCGTTTTCAAGGCCAATGTGCTTGGACCATTGTCCCAAACAGGCCCTACTGGCTAGTCCAAGAAGTGCCATAGGCATGAATTAAAAACTGAACTTGTAGATGAATATTGCAAGGACAATTACTGCTCTTAATTAGAAAATAAAAGCCCAAAGCACAGAAATGGGGGTCAGGGGAATAGCACACAGTGTAGCATGATTTTTAAGAGCTCTCTCCTGTCATGCAGTCAATCAGCAATGCAAATTTTTTTCTCCTGATTGCTGATTGGTTGTGGAATGGAGAAAGACAGCAATACCACTATCCATATTCTTCTGATTCAAGTAAAATATGTTGCATTACAGATAAACTTTTCAAATGATGGGTGAAAAATGCAGGAATAGATATAGATAGTATTTATGTAAAATAGAGCATACTGCAAATGAATGGCCTGCATATATTACATATTTTTTACAATAAAAATAAAAGCTAACCATATTCACCTTATTTGCAAGAAGGATTAATTAGTCAGTAATACAGGCAAGCTGTGTGGTTTTTAGGTTTTTCCTTATTCTTGCTGCAATACAAAGCCTCCATACACAGTATGCTTTGGACAGTGTATGCTGTTTGATTGTTTGCTCAAAAGCGAGGTGTGAAACCAAGTTTATGGTGATTTCTGCTATTTTTCTTTTTTTTTTTTTTTTTAATTTTAATCTGGTGATGTATAAGAATGAAACAGAACTCTTCAGTGGGGGTTTCAGTCTTCTAACAGGAGTTAGAAAAGTATGTACAGTGGAGGGAAAAATAGTTATACTGTATGTTCTAGAGGTACTTACATGTCTTTAAAAACAAAAAATATTCTAATTATCCTGTCAGTCACAAGAAAAAAAAAAAAACAAAAAAAAACCAACAAGCATTGAGCTACTCAAAAAATATCAAAGCTGGAAACATTGGTTTATTAAATGACATGTCAGGGTACAGATTTTGCTTTCATGTATCTTTTTTGTGAGGTTACTCTGGCTGTCTTGAGAATTGAAATTCATATAGAAAGGTACAGCTGCTACAGGAAAAGGTCTGTGGGCTTTTCCCTCAGATAGACTAACAAAAAAGCTGTTTACATTGTCTCAGGCTATGCCTTGCATACCATTCCATCAGCATTGCTGTCTTTGCCTAAGCAGCGTTATGAATGGTTTAATATTTTCAGTTCTCAGATGTCATGAAATATACTTGCTCTTTACTGCTTGGTGGATCTGTTGGATCTTTCTTCCCTTTTAAATTTTTCCCTTAATTGTTCCACAGACATTCATTGGAATGATGCTCCATTTCTTACCATCACTTGTGAAAAGCAGACCAAAACATACTTCCAGGATTTTACCTGAGAGGTTTACCAGAACTTTTGTTGAACAAAAGCCTTTTTTCTTTCCCTTTTTTGAGCTAGAAAGTATAACTTTAAAAGGTTGCAAAGCCTGTGTTGTGTATGCCAGGCAGTGTCAGGAACCTGTCTGTATGAAAATTGCCTCTGCCTGTGGGGGCCTGAAAAGAAAGGAAGTCTTGGACATTGAATTTTGTGCTGGTCAGTTCAAGAGGAAGCCTCTTGGGGACTGGAGGCTGCTGACTTAAAAGCCTTTATTTTAAGCCTAGCATTAAGCATGTCTTCAAACCAGTATTAAAGGATGCCCTCTCTCAGTGCGTTTCCCTTTTTCTTTGACTCAGGAACTAACATTACTAGAAAGGTGTCTACCTTTTACGTAGCCAGCATTTTACTGAATATGAACAGATCTATAGTGGATAATGTTGGAGGATGGTAAATTCATCATCACAATCATCATGAGGTTCTTAATGTGCACCTCTCATTTTGAACTCCTGTCTGTTTATGCAGTTTCCACTGTGGGGCTTTGATTTTTTTTTTTTTTTTTTTTTGAGATAAATGAGGTTTTTCAGAAGTGCATGTTCAACTTTTCTTGTGTTCTTATTTAGCAAGTTAATAGAATGATGAACTAGCTGCTTGACAGTGGTGAATTCTTGATTGAAGACATTATAGTCTCCAAAACCGTAGTCATCTTTTACAGTATTTTTCAAAAAATAGCACACCAGAATAAATAGGGAGAAAATATAATATTTGAATTCCAAATGAATTCCCCCTCCTGAAACTTCTTTGTTTCAAACCGCAGTGGCAGAAACAGACCAAGAATAATATTAAAATGCTATAAAAGCACCTTAGTGGCAGCAGTATGGAAAAAGAGAATGTATGGGTCAGCTTCTAAGACTCTGAACATATGTGAAGTGAGAAAGAAAAATACTTAATGGCTGAAGAGAGAATAATATAATTATTTCTACAAGGTGATTTTCACTTCACAACTTTCAAGTACTAGAGGATGTCATTTTGTGCTGAGAGGGTATGAAGTATCATGAAATTAATTTTAGTATTCATTTTACCTTGGACTTTCACCATTCAGTATTTTATTTTACAAGCT